TCTGACTTGTACGAGTAATGTTAACCTTGCCCTTTATGTGTATTCTGCATTTACTGGTTAATTTACGAATTTACATTATGTATTGGAATGGGGCATTATTATCTGTCACGTGTTAGGACAATATATGCTACTCTAAACGCACTAATTCTCAAGGAAAAATATGTTAGACATTTGCCTTACTTTTACTCATACATAATAACTATTCAGTGTTCTGCAGATCTTGATTTAGTTAGTTCCCGGCTATAAGCATATGTATTAATGATATTAAATTGCAGTTATAGTACTCAAAGTTATACATGTCCATGTTACGCAGTTGTAAAATATACAAGTTATAGCCGCTTCATTAACAGGATCTGCAGAAAATATTTATTGTACTAATAATAAATAATTAGGCCCCCATGCTGTTGGTGTCTTTTTCCCTCCATGATCAGAAAAGGTGGTGATGCAATGATGCACACTCCTTCCATGCATGAAGCCATATATCTGGGGGATAGCATGGTTCTTATTCTATGGAGGAGACGGTTTAGGACCATTCTCTCGAATGTTTTGCAAATGCAGCTAGTAAGGGAAATTGGGCGAAAAGCATTCTCTTGATTTGGCTTGGGAATTGGAATGATTATACTGTTGGTCCAAGAGATAGGAAGCTCCCCGGTAACATAGCTCATATTATACAGCTCAAGCAGGGGATTCCCTGGTACTAAAGGGAGCAGACGCAATATGTCATAAGTGATACCATCTTCGCCGGGGGATGTGGCTTTACCTTTGTTTAGGGCCGCGAGTAATTCAAACTCAGTAAATGGCACGTTGCATTCATCTTCCTTGTGGAGCATGAAGTCAACGAGCCTTTCTCGATCTCCGTAACCAGCATCTAATCTGAACTGTATGTCTGGGGGAAGATTATTGAAGCTAGAGGTGGTTGCCCAAGCATCGACTAACTCGTTTGCTCTGTGTAGAGGGTGAGGGTGTGCTACTTGGCCGATCTTATCGCCTTTAATTCTTTTAATATCCTTCCATGCCTGGCTGAGGGGGGTGTGAGAGTTGAGACTGTTAACAAAAGTTTCCCAGTTATCTTGCCTGAGCTCTGTCATGAGCTCCCTCGCCTTGGCTAGGGCTTTCTGAAAGAGCTTGAGCATTGCTGGCGTACGTGTTTCCCTATATGCAAGTCCAACTCGTCTGGCAGTGCGTTTCAAAGTACGCAGTTTGGGGTCATTGTAATAGGCATGGTGTTTTTTACCTTTCATATCGTTCCGGCTATTGGATGGTGTGGAGGGCCGACCTAAAGGGTCAGCGAACATCTGAATGCTCTGTACCAGACCGTCGTTAAATGTCTGGACTGTGGAGGGATCATAAGTGCTGTACCACTCTGACACATGAGCAACAAAGTCTTCACGTCGAGCAGGAGGAACACTGAGCCGTTTGCGTTTAAAAGTCCCACCGGGCAGGATGGTATTTCCTATACATAGAGTAGTCAATCTAGGGTGATGATCTGACAACAAATCTGTTACAATAGATGATGTGCACCAGACGTGAGAGACGTTGAAACCAACACAGAGGTCTAGAATGCCTCCACAAATATGCGTGGGTTCAAGGTCACCCATAATCTGCACATCTTGGTGACTATTTAGTAGCGACAGCAGTTGATTCCCGTTACCGTTACTGAAGCGAGAGCCACCAATGTCCTTGACATTGTAGTCACCAAGAATGATGGTGGGCTCTGCTTGAGCGCAGGCCGGAAGATCAATATAATTTAACTTTCCTGCTGGAGCATATAGATTAAATACATTGAGAACAGAGTTGCCCACATAGATCCTCACTCCATGATACTGTTGACTGGCAGTTTGTTTTTCTGGCAGAAGTTGATGGGGTAGGGATTGTTTGATGTATAGAATGCAAGAGTTACTGGATCTGAGGTTGTAAGAAACAAATGAGGGCAATTTCGGGGGTGAGGATCTTGCGGGAACTCTGCACTCCTGGAGACATACAATATCGATGTGTTCAGTTGTTACTTTGTGATGTAAATCTGAGAACCTTTCCTTGAGGGACGCAATGTTCCAGCTAAGGATGGATAACTTAGTTAATTGTGCATTTAAAGTCAGTATTATATATTGATATTATTAGTTCACTTAATATATATTATCTATTGCACTACGATATAAGTCCAGGAACATTTCTTAGTTTATTACCAATGTCACACATTTGCCTCCAATGGTCTAGTACAATTTGTCGGTCATTTCCAGCTATAGAGTCGTTTTGAACATAGTTTAGCACAACTTTGGCAGTTAACCTGCGTGGAAGGACTTCATGTAGCGAGTAAATCTTATACTCGCTCCATTATCTCATCATCTTAATGGCATAACTAATTACACAAGCAATAATCCTATCCCTATTTACAGGTAACGGGTTTTCCACCCGCCTATCTTACTGTGAGGTGTAGTCACCGTTTTACGGGCTATTCATGCCCGTGCCACCTCTTGGGTGGCTTAATCTTTATCAATCAGTCACCGTATATAAGCCAGCGACTTGAGAATAGCAAACCAGTACAATCTCCAGTCAAGAATGTAGCACTCGGCGTAGGCAGTTCTAATCGACCCAAGACGCTACAGCTTCGACACAGAGCAGGCAGCAGACTACGACCTCATCCAGCTACAACGCTCTCCCACATAGAGCTCCGCGACTCCGGCCACACTCAGCTCTCTGCTCTGCTCCAGGCTTCGTCACAACGTCTACGACACTGCTGTATCCAGGACTACTAAATAAATATGAAACTGTAGCGACTAGATTATCCCAATAATATACTTGCTCCAAATGCTTTGTTAATATTCCTGACAACCTTTGGAGATGAATGAGGTGAGGCGTTGCCCGAGCATATAAGCAGCAGAATAGCAAACATTAACCAGAGTCTACTTTCAAGTGTGGTCTAGAGCAGACACTTGCGAGATACTGTACCGACGCTCAGTGCGCTCAACTCACACCAAAGTATCACCTGTGTACTTCTGTATATTCGACCAAATATATATATAGTATCTTAGTGTCTGTGTTTATTTGTCACCATACTTTACGTAACAATAGAACCGTTACATTGGTGACCCCAGAGAGTTTCGACGATACCCAGCCACGATGGACCACAACACTCACTGGACCTCTACTGCTACTGTTTGCTGTGATGGAACACTGCCAACACCCTCGCCACAGCTATGATTTTCATCGCGTCCATCTCTGCATTTTCATCTACTACGGCTTGCTGCTCCACGATCGTTACTCATCTGACAGCCTCATCAATGATTACATCATGTTGGATCTACAGCTTGTCCTGCCGACTCTCCGTCGCTGCCAGGGCACTGCTTGTCCTACGCCCACGACAGCTGCTCTGTCATCAGATTCATCTACACGTTCACTGCATTTTGATACTCGGCCGACTCAAGCCCTTTGCGCAGTACAGGACTTACTGCTTGCGTTTCCGACACTTCGTCGCCTTCAGGACAATTCAGCTCTAGATGTGATTACCTCGTTGTCCTAACTACGTGCCTACATTACCTCCTAATGTCCTGGTGCCCGAGCCCATCCGCCCCGGATCTAAATGCTCCACCAGCGACCCAAGGACGCAACAATTATGCACATTCTTCTCTCCTGCTACACCGAGCTTGTCCACACACTGCCTACATCTTTTGGTACCAGACTACAATTTCCACAGTCAACAATGTAGTACTCGGCGTGTACAGTCCTAATCAACCCAAGACGCTACAGCTTCGACACAGAGCAGACAGCAGACTACGACCGCATCGAGCCGCCACGCTCTCGCTCCCCGAGTTCAGACACTCACAATTCTCAATCGAGCCGCCACGCTCTCCCACATAGAGCTCCACGACTCCGGCCTCACTCAGCTCTCTGCTCTGCTCCAGGCTTCGTCTCAAACGTCTGCGACACTGCTAAATCCAGAGACACATCCGCCGACTACGCAGTTCACTTTTCGACCACAGTTACCAGCAGCACCGCCACCTACGACAACGGACGATCCTGTACGACCTCCCACCCTACAACCCACCAGCCGCACCACAACCTGATCCTACGACGACGGACGATCCTGTGCGACCCCAGTTAGATGACATCAGCGAAGAGGAGGAAGTTAACTTTGATGGTTATGTAACGCGAGCAGGGCGTACAATTCACCGACCAGCTAAGTTCCTTGATCGAGTATTTTTCCTTTCATCCCCTGGGAGGGGGAGTTCTGTAGCGAGTAGATTATCCCAATAATATACTTGCTCCAAATGCTTTGTTAATATTCCTGACAACCTTTGGAGATGAATGAGGTGAGGCGTTGCCCGGGCAACACGGTGAGGTGTTGCCCGAGCATATAAGCAGCAGAATAGCAAACATTAACCAGAGTCTACTTTCAAGTGTGGTCTAGAGCAGACACTTGCGAGATACTGTACCGACGCTCAGTGCGCTCAACTCACACCAAAGTATCACCTGTGTACTTCTGTATATTCGACCAAATATATATTTAGTGTCTGTGTTTATTTTGTCACCATACTTTACGTAACAATAGAACCGTTACAAAACTCACTAAACACTGTGTATCTAATCAACCCAACAACGTAACATAATCGTACGTTACAACTTAATGTTACCAAACAATATGTAAAATGTTTTGTCAATATTGAGGATAAGTTTGTTAGCAGTCAGCCATTAGGGGACTTTGTTTAATTCAATATTCACAGTGTAATAAGTGGGTCAGCATTAGAAATTGCCTAGCTAAAAGTACATTTAATATCCCCATTTCACAGGAAAGTTAGTCATGTTAGCTCTATCTATAAATCCAACATTATCTGTGTAACTCATCTTCTATGTATGTACTTTTACCTGAATAAAAATTTGAATGTATATATGGAATATGGGTCTCGCAGTGTAAACTGTACTGAAGTCAGGGTTGCAACGCGCGTACGAACATGTGGGTTAGGCAGTTTAGACTGTATTGAAGTCGAGGTCACATCGCGCATTCGGACAGCGGCCGCTGATAATGTAAACACAGCTGATTCACTGGCGACACGGAGCTGGCGGTATTAGGACGGAGTTTCCCTCGGTATTGGCAAGCTTTTGCTGAGAATACTGCCAGCTGACGTCACCATAAACAGGTGTCCAGTGGTGCGGTTCATCGCCAGAGAAGGTATTATTCATTATGGATAACTAATCTGATATGTTGAGGGTCATAGTTATGAATCGAGTAGATTCATAACACTGAATCTACTCTGTGCAATAATAATGAAATTATTGTATAATCTTTAGTGTTATTAACAGTTTGTGTCTAATTTGTCATTTTATTATTTCTTAGAGGGTGGAAAGCTTGTCGGCAAAACTGAATGAGTACCTGGTGTTGGGGACGAGAAACTTATACTTTGGCCTATCAAATTCTAACTGTAGGCCAACTACTGACTTTTTTTCCAGGATAATTAAGGATCTGATTGTGCACTGATTGATTCAGAGAAAACTAGTAGGATAAGGCTTAAGAGGAATATAGGTAGGGAAGGTTTTAAACTTGTCAACAAGAGTCGGAAGACATCATCTCCTTGGATCTGTGTAAAAGTGCAAAACAAAACAAAAATGTATAAATACTCAAGCATATGCCTAATAATGCCCCCTAATTTAACTTTCTTGGAAGTGTTTCTTGGTTTTTGTTGGCTACAGCTGTAGGTTGCCGTCCTACGTCTGACTTGTGTGTACAGGAGATCGATCTCTCCTTTCACAGCACTTTGGTCGGGCCAGGGCTTCACCTACTGTTAGTCAAGGTGGGACCTCTAATGCCAACAGCCGGGTCGGATGCATGTTCCCCAGCCTCGTCCTGTTTTTTTTTATTTTGTTGTAATCTATGAAATAGCTTGGATAGTTTGATAAAGTACAGATATATGAAACATGTGGAAAGCACAACAAATTTCTCTGGAAGCTAGAAAACTGTTGCAAGTTGCATCCTAGTAAGGCCTGTCAGTAGATGGTTTAGGAAGGACTGCAATAAACCTATGTTCAAGCTTCCTGTTCCCATTGACAGGAATTATATGCTGCATCGTATTTCCCACAGGTTTTGGACACACTTAATTGTTTTTTAAATTGAGAAAAATACATATATATTTCTATTCACTATTTGTAATGAAATAGCTTTGGTGCGTTGGTGAAGTGCAAATATGTACTCCAGATGATTGAAATGGATCAACAGAGCCTCTATTGAGCCATGCACAGCTGTTCATCTGCTAAAGATAAATACGGTACAATATGGATTCTGACACCAGGATTCAAGTCGGCAGGTTCACGAAATAGATTGTTAAAGCTCAAATTTTATTTTTCTGTACTGTATGTTTTCCATAGAGTAATATACTATCTATCATAAAATAGGCAATATTTTATTTGACAATTTACATATATAATTAACATTTTTAATCTTGAACAGACAATGTCTGGGTCAGTATTAGACGGGATTGGAAGCTTGGAAGAAATGCTGTTCCGAGCTGCTGGAGAGATGCCAGATAATGGCCAGGCATCAGAGGGCTGCGAAGGGAAGGGGGACCATGAAGCAGCAGCATTAGTACTGCAGGAGCGGAGGTACAGTATATATATATATATAATACTTACGTTTCTATATATATATATATATATATATATATATATATATATATATATATATATATATATATATATATATATATATATATATATATATATATATATATATATATAGAAGTCATGATTAAAAGACGTTGCCCTAAATATTTATGAAAGAATAAGTTTTAGTGCCATATAATTTAATTGTAACCTACAGTGCTTTGATGTCGATGAACAGTGTATAATTTGTCATTACTGTATAATGTACCGAGGCCGTTTGTCAGTGATGCTAATATTTTTTATATTGATTCAGAAGAGCTTCATTCCATCTAATTATGTGGGGTGATCACAATTAGTTCAAGGTGGGATTTTGTTTCATTTGAAAATGCCCTGCCAGGTTCAACTTCATATCTCCTAGTGTTTTTGATTAGCCTACAAGGACTGTACTTCATGTACTGGTTAAATACATGAAGTACAGTGCCTTATGCATCCCAAAATTAGCATTTGCACAGGGTGTGACCCCCCCCCCCCCCTCCTCCCCACAATAAGGAAAGAGTACAAGCACATACCGTATAGTATAATGATCAGTGGTGCATGGGAGAGGCTGAGGAATATGCAGGGCAGCCATAATAAAGTTTAGACTGAACCAAAGACTTGTGCAAATAGAGGCGGTTGTGTCTATCAGCTCTCCCACTCCAGGACGTATGAGGCAAACCTTAACACTTTAGTCTGGGCATGACGCAGCATTGCGTCATCCGTTTACTGTTGGTAATCTCGGGGATGACGCAGCATTGCGTCATCCACTAAAATAATTGCCAAAAATCAGGTTTTTATCCGATTTTTTTGGGACTGTTTGGTAACTGTCAACAAAGCGAATGCAATCTGTGACTACAATACAAACATGAAAGGTGTTGATCACTTTGACCAAATGATCAAATATTATCACTTCATAAGGAAAACTCACAAATGGACGATGAAAATGACCATCTATTTTGTGCAAATGGCTATCTACAATGCTTATGTGATGTACAACTACTACACAAAAAATACTAAACTATAATAATACATATACTAAAATACTAAATACTAAACATTTGTGGGCAGGAATTGGGAGTGTAGCTGGAAGGTGTCTGGGCGCTCACTCGCAGTTAACGCGTGGCCCGTCTTCAACTCGTCGGCGGGTGGAGCATGACCAGGTTTTTTATTTTATATGCTAATGTTCCTCTAGAGAATTCTATTGCGAACCCATTGATACCAAAATGAAAGACCTAGAACGAAAATTGAGGTGACCAGAGTGAAAAGAGTGAACACATTTTATCGCTTTTGCGCGCTCCTGGGTAACTCGTTTGCACTTTCTCTGTTTGCTGCAGGTAATTAGCTGGGCTTTTGGAGTTTATATGCATTTAGTGCTATAGAGAATTCTATTGCAAACACAATGATACCAAATTTAATCTCGTAGGACGAGAATTAAGGTGACAAAGTTGAAGAGAGTATACACTTTTCAGAATTAACGCATGCTCCCGTGAAACTCTGGGACCCAAATCGCACAGTTGAGGGGTGGCGGGCAGGGCACGCCAAAGTGTTAAGGCGAGGGAGTCCCTTGGAGCATGCGGCTCGGAGATCGGCAACATGAGCAAACCTAGACCTCAGGTGTTAAAGACCTACAGGTATCCAAGGCCAAGGGATACTGCCAAAAGTTTGGCAGTATCTCTATATGTAAGGGGATTACCACAGAGTGACAGTGGGGGTGGAGGTGAGGAGGGATGACATGCCTCTGAATAAAAGTTAAGCATAAGTCTTTGACATAGAGAACGTGAAGCCATGATTGGTGGCTCAAGATGACACGTTACCATACTCGAGTTGGAGCTGACATTGGAGGTAAGAGGGGTCGTTACAGTGACTGCAGTGTATTGTCAGGACAACCAAAAATAGAGTAGTGCTCAGAACACCACTTCATACAGGAAAAAGAAAAAGTTAAAGAGAGCAGCACCAATCCTCATTTTAAATGAGCGATAAGAGTGGAAGCTTGGACAGAAAAGTGGGAGATTGCCATAACTGGGAGGCAGAGAGGTAACAATGATGTTTCAGGAACCACACAAGATTCATATTAATCACTTCTGGCATATTAATCAATCTGGTACCAAAGCAAACACCCAGATAAGATAAAAGATACCCAGCAAATACTGTAAAGAGGAGGAAGGGTCTTTGTACAACCTTTTCTCTCATCTGCTGGTGAGAATGGAAATATGGAAGAATGAAAATATTTTTGCTGGACTCCAAAAGATACTGACTGTATGAGCCTGCCGCCGTCGAATTGTAGAGCGACAACGTGGACTGAGTTTAGAAAGGGCGAAAAGATCATTATAAGGGAGGCAGACATGAGTGAAGCAGTCCAAAGGACAAGATTAAAGAAGGTGTTTACGAGTCTGGAAAGAAGGAAGAAGATGAGCACCAGAGCTAATAGGTGAAAAATGCAAACCCTTCTAACACCAGTTGTGTTCCAACTCTTCCATTATCTACCAACACCAGTTCTGTCACAACAGAGCCAGGGAGATGGACAAACAACAAATAAGTCTGAAATAAATTTACTTACAACCTTATGGACCCTATTCCAGGTGTGAGAGAGAGGGGGCGCTAGGAGTAATAGTGAATATTTAGGATTTCCAATTCTCATATTTATCTATGCACATGGCCCTATGGGCCTCTGCACTCTTCTGAAACAAAATAAAAGATTCAGACTTATTCCTGCGCCATTACCACTTTCAGCCTTCCTGCTTACAGCATACAGCCTAAGCACAGTCTGAATGCCACCAAGGAATGCACTTCTGCATGCCATGAGAAGCATAATGAGGAACAGAGCAGAGACCATTGTCTATTGTCATGGTAAAAGGAGGGAATGTGGAAGAGAGACGTTAGACAGGAAGGGAAGGGTAGCACAGAGAGTGTAAAAGATTCCAGACTGCCTTATCAAATCACCACTAAGGGAAAGAGGAGAGCAAAAGTAAACAAGGATGGGGATATGGCTATCATATCACCATCAAAGGGAATCATAAGAAATGGAAGAAGACCAGTGAGAAAGATCAATGCAGGAAACAGTGTGGGCGTGATTTGACGTGAGCCACCTCACCAGAATTCAGGAGAGACAAAGAAAAAGAGAGAATGAAAAGTTCTGAAAGATGGCCTCGAGTATTTTGTGTGGGCATCGCCCCCAGAGGGCAGGTCAACAGTTAAAAAACACACAAAAGAAGCAGAAGCTCTGGAAACAAGTTGAAAAAGTGTTTGAGATTGGGTGGAAATTGGAAAACATGGAGGGAGATAAATGGAACAAATGGTATACCATTTATTCACAAAGATGCAAGCAGTGGTAGAATGAGCACTTGACTGAAAAAAAAGAACATTCCAGATCCTGGGGGGGGGGGGCAGGTTCTGCACCACTGTGATTGGGGGGCCAGGTTCTGCACCTCTGTAATTACCTAAGTGTAGTTACAGGATGAGAGCTACGCTCGTGGTGTCCCGTCTTCCCAGCACTCTTTGTCATATAACGCTTTGAAACTACTGACGGTCTTGGCCTCCACCACCTTCTCACTTTACTTGTTCCAACCGTCTACCACTCTATTTGCGAAGGTGAATTTTCTTATATTTCTTCGGCATCTGTGTTTAGCTAGTTTAAATCTATGACCTCTTGTTCTTGAAGTTCCAGGTCTCAGGAAGTCCTCCCTGTCGATTTTATCAATTCCTGTTACTATTTTGTACGTAGTGATCATATCACCTCTTTTTCTTCTGTCTTCTAGTTTTGGCATATTTAATGCTTCTAACCTCTCCTCGTAGCTCTTGCCCTTCAGTTCTGGGAGCCACTTAGTAGCATGTCTTTGCACCTTTTCCAGTTTGTTGATGTGCTTCTTAAGATATGGGCACCACACAACAGCTGCATATTCTAGCTTTGGCCTAACAAAAGTCATGAACAATTTCTTTAGTATATCGCCATCCATGTATTTAAAAGCAATTCTGAAGTTAGAAAGCATAGCATAGGCTCCTTGCACAATATTCTTTATGTGGTGATTGGGGGGCCAGGTTCTACACCTCTGTGATTGGGGGGGCCAGGTTCTACACCTCTGTGATAGGGGGGGGGGGGCAGGTTCTGCACCTCTGTGATTGTGGGGGGCCAGGTTCTGCACCTCTGTGATTGGGGGGGGGGGCCAGGTTCTGCACCTCTGTGATTGGAGGGCCAGGTTCTTGCACTGGTCCCCGATAGGCCAAACCAAATCAGCCGCGGCTGATGTGACCTTTTAGTGTGAAGCATTCTCAGGAAAATAGCTTCTGGGGAGCCGCTGAGGTTTTTCCAGTAATTGGCATTTCAGTGCACTCAACGCTGGGGTTTTGGGCCTTGGACAAAAAGAGCTAAATGGGCCCCATCCTATGGTCAGTATGGCCATTCAAAGACTAAACGCATACAGTGGTACCTCAGATTACGAGCGTTCCTGTTTACGAGTTTTTTGGGTTATGAGCAGGACTTGCTCAGAAAATTTACATCGGATTACGAGCGTTGCCTCGGAATACGAGGGTATTGATACGCGTACAGGCCAACCTAACGCGTGGTGGCACGGCGATTGCCCCTCGGTTTACCAGAGCCTTGCGCCCAGTGACTATTCCACCTGAATTCTTCACAAGGATTTAGTTTTTTGTCGAATTTTTGGCCATTTGAGCATAAAAGTTGTTGTTGTTATCTCGCCATGGGTCCCAAGAAAGCCAGTGGTAAGGTTCAACCTACGAAAATAGTTGCGAGTAGAAGCAGTAGAGGATGTCCCTTCCTCATTAAGAAAATGTGTGAAGTATGGGAAGAACTGTAAAGTTTTGTTAAAAACTCACCCAGATAAAGCTGTAGCAGGCCGTTGCATTGACCTTTTAAGTGACAATGTGATATCTTACTACAGACAAGTGTTGCAAAGAAGGGAAAAACAATCTTCAATGGATCGTTATCGTTGTGAGAAAATAGAGCAGTG